ATGAAGTATTACCACGAGGAGGCCTGGCTTCATTTCAGAAAGGTTGCTACGGAACCTTATACTGATGACAGATTGCCTAATTAGGTGATGACAATCGGTTTCCGGAGGAGTTTTGGTCACGATTTTGATTTTCATTAATAAATCGCGTTTAAAAAATCGAAATCAACTTTTTTAAAAACTAATATTACAGTTGATGTTATATTCTTTCCAACTAAAGAAAAAAAAATTTTTTGAAAAGATGTCTAAAATGAACCCCTCCTGATACCTTAAACTTGCACGAACAAAAAGGAAGAAAATCCATTTAAACTGTCAATCCAAGTTTGCAAATGAATATGATCTCGAGTGCACATTTGATGAAACAGGAACCACCATCATTTYGAACAGCAAAACAACAACCGTAAATAAAGCCAACCCACAAGCGATCAAGGACATCCTTAACAATGCTGTACATAATAAACTCATCAAAGAAGTAGAAGAGCAAAAATGGTTAGGACAGCTGACTATAAAGCAACTCTAAGACCCAGATATGTCCAGTAATGCAAACAATATCCATACCATACCATATCCATATCCATACCTGGAAAAATATACCCGAGATTGTTTACAGCGTGAACAAAAACATCAGACAGCAGTTACCAGCAACAAAATCTTATCAGCAAAGAAAGACTCGAGTGCAAGTATCAGATACCAAGTGCCGCGTGTGGAATGACAAAGTTGAATCGACAATACACATGCTTAGCATGTGCCCTGCGATTGCACAATCATTATACACAGCAAGGCATGACCACTTGTTAAGACCATTTTACCACTACATCCTTTACTTGTATGGTTACGACGAAAGCGACCACAATAAACCATGGCATCTACAAAGACAACCACAACCAGTCTTGGAGAACAAGATAAGCAAAGTCCAATGGAATATACCAATCAAATTAAAGAAGGCATCATCAAACGGTGCAAATCGTATCGACAAGGCTGTGCAAGACAAAGTGCAGAGCAAATTGTACCTCCTTGAAGGAACAGTGTGCAATGTTGGAACCATAAAAGRGAAAACTAATCTAAAACAAGAAAAATACACAGAACTGAGAGATGGATTACGGGACTTGTATAAGAACTACGAAATTACACAAGTAAATATTGTATTTGACTTCCTTGGAGGCTACAACGTAGGACTAGAAGAAGATTTGAACAAGTTTAGAGAGGACAAAAGGGAAACACTATACTTAATAAGAAAAGCTCAAAAATGGATCCTGTGTCAGAACACAGAGATTACCAAGTTCTTCCACGGCCATCTGTAAATACAACCACATTGCTTAGGAATACCCTGCAATGTGGCACTGTAAATTAAACAATGAAATGTTAAAAATAAAGATTCCATAATAATAACAATGATAATAATAATCATCATCATCATAATAATAATAATAAAATAATAATAATAATTTAAGAAGCATTACACATAGTCTCAATGCTTTAAAAAATAAAATATATGAAGAAATTACAATAAAAGTTTAACTATAAGATACACCTAATTAAACAAACGTTGTCCAAGAAAAAATAACTTTTACTATTTAGGAATTAATTAAAAAACAAAAGAAAGTGTTCGGCTTCAGTGGACATGCTTTGTCTTTTAATGTATTCTTAATTTCCTAAATCCTTAAATCTCATGAAAACGTTTTCGTAATTAGGTGTATATGTATAAAAACATTGTTATAAACTGAAATTATGTGCCTAAAAAATGAGTAAAAATGTTAATAAAGGCTTTGGGAAAAAGATAAGTCTTAATTTCGGCTTTAAAAATGTCTAAAGAGTTCGATTTTTTAATTTGTAATGGTATGGTATTCCATAACTTTGCAGCGTAGRAGGAAAATGATCTGTYACCATAMGTCTTAGTGTTAGTTTTAGGAACGGCTAGCAGGTGCTTCGTAATCGATCGCAAAGACTGAGAGGGTGCTTATTGCTTCAAAAGTTCACATATATATAACGGAGCCTGGTTGTGCAAGGATTTATAGAACAATGTTAGTATTTTGAAGTCAATTCTATATCTCACAGGTGGCCAGTGGAGTTCTTGCAGTATAGGGTCAATTGGAACATCCTTCTTATTTCTAGAAACAAGTCTGGTCGCACTGTTCTGCACCAACTGTAGTTTTGAGATCTCACAATCCGGTAGACAGGAGTCAATCTTTGATGTAATAAAATCATGAACAATCTTTTTGCCTGATTGCATGTCAAGAAACTTCCTAATTTTATGTAAATGTAAAAAGGCGTTTGCCTTGAAAATTTCAGGTTTTGTTCTTAGCATTTAAATAAAATATTGAATTATATGAGTACAGGTCGATTGCATTTTTTTGGATGTATACATTTACTAACAGAAATGTGCAATAGGTTGATGTAAAGGAGCTAAACAATAGACAAGTAAACATTACAGTATTTCGTTATTGATGTCTAAATGCTGAAATTTATTTACATTTTCATGATGTTACAATCTGAAGCAGAACACCTGTTTGACACCTGAAGTATCAATATCACTAGGAATCTAAACAAGACAATATAAATAATTATTTCCTTAATAGTTTTCTTCAGATTAATACTACATTCTCATTCTTTATGTCTGGACTGTGTATGCGTGGTCTTTATTGCAATTATAAGAATTTCATACAAAGCTTTGTACTTTTGCTCCTACATAACTTTGCTTAAGTATTTAGTGCATAGCTTCAAAGCAGTGCCAAATGTTTTCATAGTATTGTCAAATGTATAAAATCAACTACACAAAATTGCCATAAACAAGCTCTTTTCAAACAAATTCAATCTACTGTGGTGTCAAATTGATTTTGAAGATTTCTGGTGTACCAGAAGCTAACCCTATACTTACCAAAGAGGAGGTTGGGCGGGACCAGTTCAGTGAGGTGATTTACTGCGCGCAACAGATACATAAAAATAACAAGGTGCTCTGCTTGTGGGTGCCCCACAGCAGTACAGCATGGCAAGGTGCAAGACTCAAGTTTGTCTATATTGCAGTTAACATTGTTAAAAAATGGCAGAGAACTTTAAATCCAAATTAATTATAAGCAATATAACAAAAATTGCGTTGGGAGAGCAAGTTGATAATCTTGTACAAAGGGCTACTGGTGAAAACACCCAGCCTAAAAAGGAAAAACCGGCCTCATTCCTGCAGGAATTCCTGAGCGAATTCAGTGAAGACAATATGGGACCGGACATTGATAAAGAGCTACAACGGGGGACGAAATAGATGACACCCCCCCTGCGTATACAGGAAATCTTTATATTTCACGGGTAAAATAAACCCCCCTTCCCCTGATTCATTGTTGGAAGATGATTCATGAACCTAACTCCCTGCTCAACCCAAACATTGATTCGGGGAAGGGGTTTTCGATGAGATTTTGGTGCAAAAGCCATAAAATCAGTCAAATAAGGAAATTAGGCCTAACAGCTAAGAGGATGTCATTTCTTTTTGTCCCCCGTTGTAGCTGAAATAGTTAATGGCTCAATGACTAAAGCACTTCCTGAAGACAAACTGAAAACACTCTTTGACAAATGTCAGTGCTCACAAAATTGTTAATCAAAAAGACAAACGCAACTAGATTCATTTTTGCGACGTTTCGACATCCTCTGATGCCATTCTCAAGCAAAATTGTGAGTCTGTAATTGTACCAAAGGTCAACCCGGAAGTGTGGACAAAACTAACCTCTAATGTGAGGTCAAATGACATCAAAATACAGAAAGTGGACAATATTCTGTGCAAGGCTGTTACTAGCCTGGGTATCATTGCAGACAAACTGCTCAAAACAAAGGAAGGTAGCAAGGACCTTAAAGAGAACTGTATCTCTGACACCGTAAAAACGGTTCTTGACACTATACGTTTTATTGGGCAAGCCCAAGAGCTTCACCAATTACGCAGAATTGAAATCAAGCCAGACCTTAATCAGGACTACAAAAGCAGAGGCAAACATGGACATAAAGGGAGCCTTTTTTATACAAGCGCCCCCACCAGTATCAACAAGGCCACAGCTGGCAGAAAAACAGGGGGCATCACCAATTTAAAGGCAAATACAACAAAAAGAGCCAGCAGAGCAATCAGTCATAGCTCCATCACAATTACAATCTGAAGTAAGCCCTGATTGAAGTTGGGATTTATATCTTAAAAGCACTATAGACCAATTACAATCGGTGCTTAAGACATTTGAAGCAGGTCAATTGAAATATTTTGTCCAGAACTGGCAAAAAACTACCTCTGATGACTGGATATTAAAAACAATCCAAGGTGCAGATATAGAATTTGTACACAGACCTCAGCAACATTTCAGGCCTTTTGAAATAAAACTAAACCAACATGAAACCTCTGTTTTCAACGAGGAAATTGAAAAGCTCTTACAAAAAAGAGTAATAGAGTTAACATCTCATTCAGAAAATGAATTTATCTCTACTATCTTTACTAGACCAAAAAAAGATGGGGGTCATCGCATGATTTTAAACCTAGCAAACCTGAATGAAAATGTACAAAAACGACATTTCAAAATGCAGACCTTTTGAATTGCTGTTAACCTAGTGACTAGAAATTGCTTTATGGCATCAATTGACTGGAAGGATGCCTATTATTCGTTACCAGTGGCACCTGAATATCGCAAGTTTTTGCGCTTTATTTGGAGAAAGAAACTGTTTTAATTTACCTGCTTACCAAATGGTTTGTCAAGTGCCACTAGAATCTTTACAAAGATTACAAAATCCTTGTTTTCCTGCTTAAGACTTAAAGAAACTCATCGTACATAGATGATGCTGTTGTTTTTTGGGACACTGTAGAGGAATGCAGGCAAAATGTGAGAGAAACAGTAACAAAGTAAGCCAAGGAGATACTGAGGGATTACGTGCCCACCCTTTGTCCATCCCTAAAACCATAATGGAGTCATTCGCCACTCTTGGGTCTCGGCACATGTTCAATCTCACGTAACCCCTCAGTATCTCCTTGGCTCGGCAGAATTCTAATCAAACTTCAACTTACAGGTAAGTCTCGTTTAATTTTGGAATTATATCATAAATGTGCTGTTTTTGTTCTGTATATGCAATAGATATATGAAGACAGCAAGGAAACTTGAAAAATGAAATATTTTTATAACTTATAATTGGTACATCCTCCGGAGCAGAAACTTACCTCTTTACACTTCAGATCCGATTTGAAACATCTGCATCTGCCTGTGCATCCCTTTTTACATGAAGTTCACTGCAAGCTTTAGACGCTTCTGGTAAGCAGGACCACACTGGCTTCCAAGACATCTCTGTTTTCTGCCATCCAAATGAGTCTGGTGGTGGGACAGTCTCAATACTTGATCGTATACTTGCCTGGTATACAGCTCGTCTCGCATGTTGCAGCCTTAAATGTATAATGGGTTTTTCAATTTATGAGAATCCCAGATACACAGCAGCACCAATTATTCTTACCTGAGTAGGTGGTACGCTCTCTAATGCCCTATTATGCTTGGTGAATAGAATCCTTCTTGCATTATTTACATGTGTACATGCGCTGCTTCTATCATAGATGACAGCTGTGAATCTTTCAAGTAAAGAGAATGCCTCGGATTCCATTTCTAGCATATGAAAAGGATCTTCCTGTGAAAAAAATCTAAAATAGCTTTTAATGTGCAGTTTTCAACTGACCTGAGGTATTCTATCCTACCTGTATGGTACTAAAAGGCATTGTCACTTTAGGAAATGATTTCCATCCATTCCAAGCAGTTTTCTTTCCTTTACCATAAAAGCCTGAGGTTGTGTCACAGCCAGTAAAACAGTGGAATACTGGTAATGCTTTCGCCTTCTGTTCTCCAAAAGCTTGGCAAATAGAATTGACATGAAGACATCGGTAATTCTTCCCCATGCCAAATGCGATCCACACATCACAAGGACCATAAAGCCTCATCAAATTATAGAAATGACCAATAAGAATAACAACAACGTCCGTGTCAACTGTGCGAACTGATACTTCTTTTGATCCTCTCTGTAGGGCATCAGCAACGTGAACGAGAAGTCTTTTGTTTGCCTCTTTGTGATTGCATTTTGGCATTGTATGGACACTTGAGACAGATACATTCTCTCCATCGGTAATCACAACTAATTTATCTTCTGAAAACTGGAATTCACGAACTTTTTTCGTCAAAAGTGCAAACAGTTCTTACTTGTTGGTGGGATCCTGTAGAAAGCTGTTCCAAATTCTTTTCAGATTTGTTTGTTCAGAAACCTTCTTTCTTACTCCTGATCCTCTTTTTGCTCTGACAGCCTCCTTTAGGGTCAAAAAATGGAATGTCTCAACTAGTTTTGACCGGGATTGTATTTTGGGCATAAAACGTTTTTCATACTCGTGAGTTGTGTATGTGTACATGAATAACTATAACAATATGCAGAATGCATTTTTTAACATTCTAA